CCCTCCCCATTACACGCAACCTGTTGCCATCTGTCTGATTTTTGATCATGAGGTGTTGATGCACAGTTACTCGATGATTGAGTATTACAGACCCGCCATTAGCGTGTCTCTCCCTCTCTCACTGCCAGCTGACTGAGACATCCTCTCGCTACGCCCGGAAGATCTCTGGCACCACCGCCCTGCAGGAAGCCCTGAAGGAGAAGCAGCAGCACATTGAACAACTGTTGGCCGAGCGAGACCTGGAGCGCGCTGAGGTCGCCAAGGCAACCAGCCATATCTGTGAGGTGGAGAAAGAGCTGGCACTCCTGAAGGCCACACATGCACAGGTACAGAATCAGGCCAAGGTGTAACAAGAGGACAGGACCCTCTGAAACCAACATCAATCATAACACTCGCCTTTGAAATTCATGAAGTGATATGGGTTCCTGGGACCGGGGCAATAGGAACACAGGCTGTAGGAGCTCGAGTGGTCATTCAGTCCCGTTAATCCTACCCTGCCATTCGACAAGATCATGGCTAATCCACATTCCTGCATTACCTCAATATCCCTTTGTTCCAAAAGTACCCTAATATTTATCTGTCTTGAAAATCAGAATATAACGGAACTGTTACACTGCAGAAAGAGGCCATTCAGGCCATCGTGCCTGCAACAGCTCATTATGTAAACGTCATTACCTCGTGACAATCTGTAGATCTCTGGGAATTCCAACAACACACCACTCTTTTTAGCTAAAGCGAAAGTAGAACAACCGTGCAGCTTTGTGTGGCCATGCAAGCCCTCACAAACTGTTTACTTTGTTTGGTTTTGGAGCAGGCCACTTGGCACTGCTGTCTTAAAACCTAAATTCAAAAAAAAAACCCAGGAAAAGGTACACCTCTTAAAGCCACAGTGGTCACTGTTAGACCAGCTTTTTGATCCCAGATTTTTTATTGAATTCACATTTCATTCACTGTGAGGAGGTCTGAATGCACATCCCCAGAACAGTTGCCTAGGGCTCTGGCTTCCTAGTGCCGTGACATTACCATAACACCACAGTCTACTCCTTGTAGGGCCTCACAGATGTACAGCTCTGGAATGGGTTGGAATGGCTCACTTTCTTTTTCACAACTAACACAGTATGACTACACGAATATCTTGGAATCCCTACAGTGTGGAAGCAGGCCATTTAGCCCATCAAGTGTGCACCAACCCTCCAAAGATCATCCCACCCAGACCCATAACACTGTATTTCCCATGGTCAATCCACATAATTGGCATATCCCTAGACACTACGGGCAATTTAGCATGACCAATCCACCTAACCTGCACATCTTTAGACTGTGGGAGGAAACCCACACAGACACAGGGAGAATGTACAAACTTCACACAGACAGTTGCCTGAGGGTGGGATTGAAACTGGGTCCCTGGTGCTGTGAGGTCAGTAATGCTAACCACTGATCCACTGTGCCACCCTGATCAACTAGTGCTAATAGACTTCCTTAGACGTGACTTTTCTGTGTGTCATGGATTAGATTTGCATTATCAGTTATTTTGTCGTTTAACACCAGTTCCATATGTTGGCTGTTTGACTGAACAGAGTACCAGACATTGCCAGTTGGAGTTTAGTTGAACTGTGCACATTCTGTTGACAGAGGATGCTCCCAAAACTAAACCCTGAGGATGGATTAAGGGAATCTTTGAGAGCAGCTGAGATGCATTGCTGTATGCCGGAGAATTGGGAGGGACATCCTTTACGTTCATAACAGTCTTGAATTGTAGAGATTTCCTAATCAACATGTTTGGAGATGTTATTTTACACCTCGGGGGCAGGTGGGATTTGAACCCAGGGCCTCGTGGCCCAGAGGGAGTGACACTACCGTGGTGCTGCAAGAACCCTCCTGTAGAATTCTTTCAGGAATGGAGTGTGGAGGATGGCCCTTCCACTCAGAAGCCAATTGAGCAGCCATTTGAGGGCCTCTTCCTACCACGACAAGCATTCTGCTAGCGAGAGGTGAACCCTCTGATGTGTCTCCAGTGAACCCTGGTGATCACCTTGCAACTTCACTCTTGTAGCATGTGCAAAGCCAGTCAGCAACATGTCATTCTCTGCAGAAACCCGCCTTCCCTACCCACCTGCTTGGGGCCTTCCTGACTGGCCTCAGTGGCACCAACCCCCACTTGCCTTCTTCAGAGAATAGTGTCTGTGCTGCTTTCCGCTAGCTTGGGTGCAGTTCCAGCAGTGGCCACCACCCTGGGTGGTGCTGTTTGAATTGGAAGAACTGCTGGCTCTCCAATCAGCATCTGAGCTCGGATCTCCCCCTTAAAGGGCCTAAAGCCTTGAAGGCAACTCATTAGCTGTTGGGCAGCTACATGATCCCACTGGAGATTCCAACAAGCTGCTGAATTGCCTTTGACCCCAGCTTTCCATTAATCTCACTACCACCTCAATAAATTGAGCTCCACTGCATCTCCTGTTTATATCAGAGAGTAACATTGCACAGGGTTTGCTGCGATGAACCCTATGAGCATGCAAGACACCTCAGTCCCGGTGAAAATCCAGTTGGTTAAAAACCATTCAGATAAGGAGTGACCACCTTCCTTGTTTCCCTGCAGTACGCGACAGAGGCTGAGATGAACCTACAGATTGTACGAACCAGGCTAAACAACGCTGAGAAACAAAAACTGGAACTGTTAAACACACTGGAAGAGGAGAAGAGGTAATGGGAATTTCCCAAGTCAGGGCGTGGAGAAAAAGAGAAAAGGCTACAGGTCTTGGGAAGGGGAGAGGGGAAGATGGAGGCAACCTGGTAAGCCCAGGAAGCAGCAGGAATGAGGAAGATGTAAAGTTTTAGATTTAATTGGTTCGTTGTCAGTCCAGAAACTTCTCGTCCAGATAGGATGGTCCTCTCATCGACCTCTATTCAAAGGTAAGGACTTGTGTGATTATAAGTTCGAAGAACCAGATAGAAGAAGAGATAATCAACTGAAGAGAGGAGATTTGCTCCATTTTTAAACTATGCTGTATTAAACCAGCACTGAACCCAAACAAAGAGTGCATTTGCTTACAGACGAATGACAAAGTGGAAATACCTTCTCAGCCTTAACCTTGATATCTTTGTCCTTTGAGCACAGTAAGGTCAAAGAATTGATGATCAACCTGCCTGGTTTGGTGCTGTTTTGATACCATATCACACGGTTTCTGGTTTCACCGCATTAATTCCAATCAGGATAACTTGTGTTTATACAGTGGCTTTATAGAGTGTCTTTCAAGTCATAGATCCACTTTGAAAAAGGTGTAAAAGAACTGGGAAAGATTTTTAAAGAACAGTTTGTGGAGAAGGTGAAAGTACACAGAGATGACTTTAAAAGGTGTGAAGAAAGTTTTGGTGAGGGTGCAAGACTCAGATAGCTGAAGGCTCAGTGTATTCAGTACATTAGAGGGACAAGAAACCAGAACTGGCACATCAAAGCACAAGAATCAAAATGATGGACTGACAATAGTGTGGATCTCACAACTACACCTGAGATAGCAAGCTTACTCCTAGATCTCTTACAGTTATTACATTTCAGTAGAATAAGATTTTTATTTTGATTAATTTTTGGTTCATGGAGTCAGTGTGAAAGCAGGCCTTTCAGCCCATCAAGTCCACACCGACCCTCTGAAGAGCATTCCACCCAGACCCACTGCCCTACCCCTATCCCTGTTACCCTGCACTTGCCATGGCTAACCCACCTAGCATCTTTGGACAATTTATCATGGCCATTCCACCTAACTGGCACACCTTTGGACTGTGGGAGGAAACCCACACAGTCCACGGGGACGATACACAAATACCACACAGGCAGCCACCCAAGGGTGGAATCGAACCCGGATCCCTGGTGCTGTGAGGTAGTCGTGCTAACCACGGAGCCACCGTGGGTTTTTTTATAGCTAAAGATGACATTTGGATAAGTACATGAATAGGAAAGGTTTGGAGGGATATGGGCTAAGCGCAGGCAGGTGGGTCTAGTTTAGTTTGGGAACATGGTCGGCTTGGATTGGTTGGACCGAAGGGTCTGTTTCCATGTGCTGTATGACTCTGTGAATCTATAGGAGCTGGGGTTTGGGCCAGGAGTGAGTTGCAGAGGCTGAGGCTGAAAAAGTTTCTGAAGTAGCTCTTTCAGTCCCTCTCGCCTTCTCTGCCATTCGACAAGATCAACTCCATCTATCTGCCTCAACTCCAATATCACTGATCCATTGACCTCCTTGCCCAGCAAAACCCTACTGATCTCAGACTAAAAATTTCGATTGATCCTTGACACTTGCAGCTTTCTAACACGTCAAAGCCAAGATCTTATCTCTTCAGTTTTTACATAAGAAAATGTCACTCGTTTCTAGCAAGTTAAAACAAAATATTGGCACGTGTAATGTTTCTGAAGATTTACCGTTCATTTTACACCTTTGCTCTTGCTGCTCAACAGGAAAATTGAGGATCTCCAGTTCCGAGTGGAAGAAGAATCAATTACCAAAGGAGATTTAGAGGTAAAAGCATTGAATGCAGATAATGCGATCAGTATCTTTATTGATGAAACGCGTTGGGCTGTTCATCAATAAACCCAAGCTGCCTTGTCCAGCATTGCATTCCCACAGTTTTCTTGGTGCCATGTCAGTGTTGCTTGGCAGGTGCCCATCAGTCAAGACAACAAATACAGCATTTAAAAGGCATCTGGGTGGGTACGTGAATAGCAGCGGTTTAGAGGGATAAGGGCCAAAAGTTGGCAAATGGGACTAGATTAATTTAGGATTTCTGGTTGCATGGATGAGTTGGACTGAAGGCTGTTCTATGCTGTACAGCTCTATGTCTCTAATTGCTCGTGTTTATTAAAATGTCTTCAGGTGAATGTATTCTGCTATCCCCTCCACTGAAATTGCTGCATGCCTGGCCACCATGGCATATAGGAAGATGCTTATTTTTATTACTGAAGGTTTCTGGGTTCCTGGATATGCCCTTTCAAAAACAAGCCGTCACATTGGAACCTTTCAGTACCAAAGCGAGTCATTCAGAAATAAAATGACATGAAAACTGCTGGAGTTATCCTAATCACCTCAATCCTTTCCTCACTCTTTTAACAAAAAAATTTAACTCACTGTAATATGATGGACCTGCAAATGGTTTTATAAGTCGGTAGGTTATAGTTTTTGTTGCTGATTTTGGAAAGGAACAGTCTTCCCAGTTTTCACTCTGGAACAGAGGACAGATAGTTATTACTTCCACTTGAGGGTGGAGTTAGAAGTGACTGCTTTGCTTTATCGGGGTGGATTGGAAAGAATAGAGATAACTATGAACACGAGTGTGAAAGTTTGAATTCGGAGCAGGAATTGGCACCTCTCTGCTCCATTGTTCAAAAAGATCATGGCTATCCTGAATACTTCACATTCCAATAACCTTCTAGCCCCTTGCCTTAAAGTGCTTCAAAGACTCCACTTCCACTGCCTTTTGAGGAGGAGAGTTTCAAAGAGTTATCCTCTGTGAGAAAAAAAAAACTCTCCTCATCCTTGTCTTAAATGAATAACCCTTCATTTCTAAACAGTCATCTCTAGTCCTGGATTCTCCCGCTTGAAACACACTTTCCATATCCCTCCCTGTCATGACCCTTCAGGATTTTGTCTGTTTGAATCAAGTCACCTCCTACGCAGTCTGTTCAGCTTCCCTCAGAAGGCAACCCTGTCATTCTGTAAATCATCACTGGACTACTTCCATTGCATTTACATCCTTCCATACAAAAGGAGACCTATGCTGTTAACTAGCCAATCTTCTACCCATACCAGCAAGTTACTGCCTGCACCAGTTTTCAAAACTTCTGCAATAATCTTTGATGTAGCACCTTATCAACTACTTACTGGAAATCTACATACAGGATTCCGTTTCCTCCTTATCCACTCAAGTAATTCCAGTAAATTGTGATTTCCCCCACTTTCACAAAACCATGTTGACTCTTCCTGTTGATCATGGACATCTTTGAGTGCCCTGCTGTAATGTCTTTAATAACAGCTTCTAATATTTTCCCAAGACAGATGTTAAGGTATCTTGGCCTTTAGTTTCGTTCTTTTTAAATCTCCTTCCCTTTTTTAATAAAGAAGTTGTATTCAATATTTTCCAATCAAAGGGAATCTTCCTCGAATCTGGGAATTTTGGAAATCTAAGACCAATGCATCAACTCTCTCGCTAGCCATTTCTGAGGATGAAGTCTAGCAGGACCTGGTGACATGTCACCCCAAAGCTCCAAGAATTTGCTCAGTCCCACTTCCCTGGTGATTGTAATTTGATTGAGTTCCTCCCTCCCTTCTGATTCCTGATTTACAGCTATTTCTGGGATGTTGCTTGTATCCTCTGAAGTGAAAATTGATGCAAAATACCTGTTCCAGTCATCCACTTTATTTTCCATTATTAATTTCCCAAGTTCACTTTCCATTGGACCAAAACTCACTTTATTTTTTTTTAATTCTTTAGAACCCCTTACTATCTGTTTTTATAAGTAAACTAGTTTTCTCTGGTGCTCTAATTTCCCATTTTCATTACCTTTTTCAGTCATTCTTTACTTTTTTAAAAATAATATATCCAATCTTCTGATATGCCACTCATTAGTGTGCATTGATATTTTTTCCTTTAAATTTGACAGCATCTATAACTTTTCTAGCATACTATGCTATGTGGGTACTCTCCTTGGAACTTTTCTTGCTCATTAGAATGTATTTATTTTCTGTATTCCAACATAACATCCCTTCGGTATCTTCCACTGCATCTCTATTGACTTTAACTTTAAGCTACATTGCAAGTTCACTTAAGATAACTCAGCTTTCATGTTCTCATAATTGTCTTTACTTAAATTTAAAATACTAGTCTCAGATTCCCCCCAATTTCCCTCAAAGTGAATGTAAAGTACAACAATATTATGATCACTGCTGCCCAGAAATGTCTTTTGGTACGATATCATTAATTAATCCTATCTCATTGTGCTGTACCAGTTTTAGTATAAATTGCTTTCTGGCTCCAGAACATGCTGTTCAAAGAAACCATCTAAAAGCACTCTATGAACTCCTCATCTAGGCTGTCTTTTCCTGTCTGACTTTTCCGGTGTATACGTAGATCAGTGTCCTTCACGATTATTGCGTACCTTTCTGACAAACTCCCACTATTTATTACTTTCTACTCTGTCCTACTCTGCTTATAACTCACTCCTACAAGTAACTTCTTGCATTTATCATTCCTGTATCCCTACCTAAATTGCCTGTAAGTCCTGTTTTTCCAAACTTTGGCAATTCCGCTCTATTGAGCTAGTGCTATCACTATTTAACAGATCCACCCTTCACATTTCCCTCACTCTTGTCCTTCCTACCTGTCATGTCCTCTTTAATACAACGTCGCAATCTGTGCCATCCTGCAGCTACGTCTCTAGTTGAAATATTTCACTCTTTTTGCAAATCTGATCTTGATCATAGTGCTTCCATGATTGTTTACAATTATAAACTTGCGCTTTTGTCCCATGCTTCTTTTGTGTATAGATGCATGAAGTTCCTCTTGATTGTCTATTTGAGGTATTTCTTTTTCCATTGTCAAACTGTATTGTAGAAGGCCCCTGTGTTTAGTAACCCCCTTATTGAGTACAAAGAGTAAAATAGTAACCTGTTGAGTACAATGAGTTCCTGCAACAGAGTTCAGTTTCTATGGAAGTTGCAAATTGGCTTCTATTTGAGGACCTCTCGTGAATGAAGCTGCCTGGAACAGGCACTCACTTATGAAAATAAAACTCAGTTGTGAAGTCTGATAAAACACAGCCCAAGGTATTTCCTACTGGAGTTTTGTTCATTAACCAGCACAGATTAGATGAATGACTATCTCAGGACGTTCTAAATGAGTCAGGCAGTGAAGAAAATGTTTCTCACTGTGGGCTTGATTTTATTTTTAAACATTCACATTGCGCACTTCCCTCTGGCTTGCTGCCAGTTCCTTATTGGCTCATGCAGTTTCTGGGGCACTTCAATATCCAAGCGCCAGTTTTTGATTTTGACCATTTGGATGACAATGTTCTGCAGTGTAAATAAGCCCAGGACTTGCGATAGTATGGGGAAAGCTCTTGCCTTTTCCAAGGTGAGATTCCTTACTCTGAGCATACACCACACATCCCTTTTGCTAAAAATATCATAACATCCAAAATAATAGGTTCAGTTTTGTCTATGCAGACTCAATGGGCCAAAAGGCATCTTCTGTACTGTACGATCCTACAAACTGCACCCAAACCTCAGGGCCAAAGGCTCACGGTTGTTTTGTTGAAAATGACACTCCACCTCTGCACCCCCCCCCCCCCACTCCCATCTCGAATTTGATGACACTGATCCCTCTAGAGAGCCCACGTGTGGTATAACTGCCTTTTTTTAATGATCCATAACAACAGACTGCCCTGGATCTGGCAGTGTTGAGGCTGTGCCCCATGATTGCAAGGAAAGAAGTTTTCAAATATTCAGAAGATAAAAACCTACTGGAGGGCGAGGGTTTCCCAAGGAGCTGAGAGGCAGCCAATTTGATTCAGAAGTAATTCAAGATGAAAAGCTGAGACAGAAGTATAGATGATTAGTCTTTTATTCGTTGGTGTTATGCTAACAGTAACTATCAGACTGTGTGTAAATCGTGTAAAACTGTCATTTGGGCCAAATGAGAGAGGCTGTGGACAGTGCAAAAGATGAGCATTAACTCTGGAAATTCAGCAATAGAATTCTCCAGGTAAACTCATTTTGATTTTTCCATAAAGAGATAAGCAGTTTGCATTCACATTGTTTTACAGTTCTGACCACTATTTCTTCCCACTTCCATCATTTTTTGAAAATTACAAGAATGGTATACAAAAAGGCGCCTTGTTTTACTCCAAGCAAACCATTAGCCTGAAGTGCGTAGGGAATGGAAACAACACAATTCATGATTTGGGGGGTTTTAAAAAATGCGTCCATTGCTTTTGTTATTTCTGCGACAAAGGAAAGCAGGAGGGCTATCCTCTGAATGTTCTTTCTCAACGTAATGTGGTGGTACTGTGTTATAAACTGTTTATCAGTCTATTGGAAGCCCTAATTGTGGCCTTGCTACTGTGAGAAATTGCAGAGTGCAAGTCCGGTGATTAACCAGTCCCCTGCCAAGGATGGGATGTTGAGCAAGCTTTGTGTGTTGCCTTTGTATGCATGACTAACCTGGAAGCTCAAACTTCAGTGTAGAGCCGCTCTAAATGAAATGTAATACCCCCTTTGGATTTGCTGTGAATGCACAATGTGTAAGATCAGCGGGCTCATTCAGGAGAAATCTTGTCCTTCAGTCTGAATGTTTGACTTTGTAACCTTTTTTGCATTTGCCTCCCTCTTTGTGATTTTATTGTGCTGAGCTATTACAGTGTCTTTGTGTCTCTTTCTCTCTCTCTCTCTCTCTCTTCTTCATCTTCTTCCCTCGGGACTAACAGACTCAAACAAAGTTAGAGCATGCCCGTATTCGGGAGCTTGAGCACAGCCTGCTGTTTGAAAGGACTAAAGCTGGAAAACTCCAGAAGGAGTTTGAAGACACTCGGGTAAAACCAGTTCATGTGCCAACCCCTCCCCCCTCAGTGCCTTTCCCTCAGTCAGTCTCATAGCTTGCCCGAGAATGGCTTGGCATCACAAAAGCTTTGTTTTGTTTTCAAGCACATTGGCTTTGTTCACGATCTCGCTCCTGACATCGGAAAGGGAAAATGGTGGGCCTGGTTTTCTTTTGACATCTGCGTTTTCGGAGCCCTTTTATTTTATTTTTCTGCTTGGCGTTGGCCTGCTAAACATTGCTTGGCACATCATCTAATTCATTGAGTGTGTATCGAGAAGCTGAGCTTTCTGGTAAATGTGTGGAGGAGCAGCTCCCTGATACGCCCTCACTCCTCACCATTCCCCTCCCCCTTTCCCCCCCCCCCCACTCTGTCTATGGCATCGGCTGCATGTGAAGCAACCGGACAGACTGTGTTGAATTGCTGAAAGTGCTGGATAGCAACCACAGACTCGAATCTTATTATCCGATTAAAATAGCATAATACCTCTTCAACCAAATAATGAATTTGTATTAACAACATGGTATTTCGGGCTCATTGGCCACTGCATCCTCAACTCTGTTCTCAATATTAAGTCCAGCTATGATTAAACATGATAGCAGAGATAGTTTGCCAACTGTGTGGCATGACATGGGCATCACTGGCACTTATTGCTAGTCGGTGGTTGCCCTTGTGAAGATAATGGTGAGCTACTGTTGTCTGTGTGGTGAAGGCAATTCCACAGTTGGTCAAAAGTGCCAGGGATTTTAATCCAGCAATAATGAACCAAAGATGATATATGTCCAAATCAGGATGGTGTTCAGCTTGGAAGAAAATGCAGTCCCCTTATCTTGCTAGGTGGAGGTTGCAGTCTTGGGAGGTGTTGTTTTAAATGTTATATAAAAGGAATTTGGCAGAGGGGCATTATGATGAGCCCCATGAGACAGGCACATAAAAGTTGGCAGATGTTGGGATGAAAGTGCCCCCAGACATTAAACTATGAATCTGCTCTCGTTTGTAAAACATTAGAACATAAGAACCAGGAGCAGGCGTTGGCCGTCAGGCCCCTCAAGCCTGCTCCACCATTCAATAAGATCATGGCTGATCTTTTCATGGACTCAGCTCCACTTACCGACCCTCTCAGCATGACCTTTAATTTCTTTACAGTTCAAAAATCTATCTACGTTTGCCTTGAAAACATTCAATGAGGAAGCCTTGACTGCTTCACTGGGCAGGGAGTTCCACAGATTCACAATCCTTTGGGTGAAGAAGTTCCTCCTCAATTCAGTCCTAAATCTGCTGCCTCTCATTTTGAGGCTATGCCCTCTTTTTTTAGTTCCACTCTCCAGTGGAAACAAACTCCCTGCTTCCATCTTATCTATTACCATCATAATTTTGTATGTTTTTATAAGATCCTGCCTCCTTCTTCTGAATTCCAATGAGTATAGTCGCAGTCTACTTCATCCAATCTCTTCTCCAAAGGCAACCTTCTCATTCCTGAAATCAACCTCCTCTGCACCCCCTCCAGTGCCAGTACATCCTTTCTCAAATAAGGAGACCAAAACTATACACAGTACTCCAGGTGTGGCCTCACCAGCACCCTATACAGCTGCAACATAACCTCCTTATTTTTAAATTCCATCCCTCCAGCAATGAAGGACAATATTCTCTTTGCTGTCTTAATTACCTGCTGCACTTGCAAACCAACTTTTTGTGAAAATGTTGAAGCATTAATGATGTCAAAAGTGGCAGGTGATCAGTCTACTCATTCTTCCAACACTTCCCCACTGTTCTCCAAAGGGAAAATATGAAGCAATGCAACAAAAAATGGCCAATGATCAGGATAAAATGGCATAAAAATTATGGGGAAGGATGCCAGCGATGGCCTCGTGGTATTATCGCTGGACTGTTAATCCAGAGACACAGATAATGTTCTGGGGACCTGGGTTCAAATCCGGCCACAGCACGATGGTGGAATTTGAATTCAATGAATATCTGGAATTAAGAATCTAATGATGACCATGAATCCGTTGTCAATTGTCAGGAAAAACCCATCTGATTCACTAATATCCTTTAGGGAAGGAAACTGCCATCCTTATCTGGTCTGGCCTATATGTGACTCCAGACCCACAGCAATGTGGTTGACTGTTAACTGCCCTCTGGGCAATTAGGGATGGGCAATAAATGCTGGGCTACCCAGTGATGCCCTCATCCTGTGAATGAAGAAAGAATAAAAGAAGTTCGTCTGAATAAAACTAAATGCCACACATTGAAATTGTGCAGGAAAATTGCAGTTGCTACATGCATAATACAGAATATAGTCATTATTTTTCTTCATTTATGAGATGCAGGATTTGCTGGCTAGGCTAGCATTTATTATCCATCCCTAATTGGTATGGATCTAGAGTCACATAGGCCAGACCAGGTAGAGATGACAAATTAGTGAAATATTGGGGGTTTATAAGACTGTGAATGGCATGGATAGAGTGGAAAGTATGAGGCTTTTTCCCAGGGTGGAGGGGTCAATCACTGGGGGACACAGGTTCAAAGTGGGAAGGGGGGAGGGGGGGAGGGTGGGGGGGAGCAGTTTAAAAGAAATGCATGAGGCAAGTTTTTCACACAAAGGGTAGTGAGTGCTTGGTAGTGAGTGCCGCCAGAGGAGGTGGTGGTGGAAACAGACCATAACAGCATTCGAGAAGCACCTAGACAAGTACATGAATAAGAAGGAAATAGAGGGATACGCATCCTGTAAGTGAAGACCGTTTTAATATGGAAGGGCAAAATGTGTTAGTACATGGTTGGAGCATCCAATGGCCTGTTTTTGTGCTGTATTTTTCTTTGTTTTTAATCAACGATGGTTACATGGCCTCCATTCAGCTGGCTTTTAATTCCTGACATTTTATTGATTTTTAAATTTCACACGCCCATGGTGGGAATAGTACCAACGTCACATTAGCCTGGGACTCTGGTTTATTAGTCCAGTAACATAGGGACTCCAACATCATCACTTCCCCACAATCAGTGGACCATAACAGTTTCCATACAAGGGATTGGTGAATAAGGTTAGCTGATAGATAGGTTCAGGATAATGATAATGAAGTGGCACTACATCCTTGGAAGAAATACTACTTTGTTGTGCCTCACAGATGCACCCGTTCGCTGACTGAATGGGAACCAACAAAATGGCTCTTCCATATCATAATTCTAATGCAAATGGACAGGAATTCATAACCTTAGATTTCCCGAGGTTGCTAACCTTTAGTGTGAAAGTGTTTGATAATGTTTGAGAAATGGCAGTATCCTGTAAATGTTGAAAGCAGTCTTGTGCCTTGGTGGGAATGATTTCCAGCACTTTCCCATTATTGAAGATTCCATGCAGCATGGCAAAGACTAGGCTTCATATACGAAGCACATTGACTCGCTGTTGTGACACAATGATGTTGCAGGTGTGCTTTTATCAGACCTGTTGTCAGCCAAACTAAATCTGAACGAAAACCGTGTTTCCGCTGCACCTTAAAATAAAAGATCCAGAACAGCCATGTTACAACAAATAATGTGTAGAAGCTATTATGCCCAACTGGCATTCCGTTAATAGGGACTATCTGAGCTGCAAATCACTGGGTACTAACAGCGTTTTCTTTGATTTCCTGACTGCAGCTCACAACGGTAGCTGAAAAGTCCAGGATTGTCCAGCTGGAGGATGAACTGAATTTGAAGAACAGCGAAATTGAGGAACTGCAGCAGAGGCTGAGAAACTCAGACAAGTCAGACACACCAGAGCAGAGCCTCAGTCTGCAGTCAGAGGTCTTCAAGTTACGAGACCAGCTATCGGCGGTCAACAAAGAGCACCAAAGTGAGACCGTCTTACTGAAGGAAAAATATGAGGCCAGGTTGCGGGAGTATCAGGAGGAAATGGAAAAGTTGAAGGCCACTAATGAGAAATACTCGCAGGATATCAGTGACCTCCGACAGAAGCTCCACCAAGCAACTAAGGAAAACATGGAGATGATGGATAACTGGAAGAACAAACTGGACACTTTAGTATCTGACCATCAGAAGTCTCTGGAGGAACTTAAAGTCTCATTGATTGCAGGTAGTGATGTTCAGAACAGTGAGCTGGTCGAGCTAAGAGCCACTATAGAAAGCCTGAAGATGGAGCACCAACTCGAGTGGGAGAATCTGAAAGCCAAGCACGAGATTGAGATGGCACTGCACATCAAGGAGAAAGAGGACTTCAAAGTTAAGCTGCAAGAAGCCAAATACGAACTGGAAGAGTGCAATGCAAACTGGCGGAACAAACTGGAGGTTACGACATGTCAGCACAGGCAAGAGCTCCAGGTGACCGTCGATCAGCTCCGAAATGCTGAGCTGAGATTTAGTGAGCAGGAGAAACTTCATGCTGGGTACAAAGACCAGGCACAGGCCATCAGCTTCTTAAAGGAGCAGATAGCTGCAGCCGAGAGAAAAATGACAGACTACGAGGCGCTCCAGAAGTCTGAGATCCAACACAAGCAGGAATTTAAGAGCCTTCAGGAGAAGCTGCAAGCACTAGAAGCTCACCATTCTTCTGAAGTATGAGAATACACAAAATAAAAACATTAAATATATCTCTGGTCGGTCTGTGGTAGGAGAAATCATGTTAGTCTTACTGTGCTCTGGTTAAAATCAACTTCAAGAATATATAAAAGAAAAATTAACAATTTTACTAACTGAGCTTAAACAGGTTGAAAATAATTTGACCATAATTAGACGTTAAATAAACAATGTAATGGGTTTAACCTTATGTGCCATCTGTACATTGAGTTGTAGACCAATGTTACTGTTCTGTTAAAGGGCAGGGGAATATTATGTATTTGCTTATGTGAAATGTAATTTAATGGTTCAATAATTTTGAGCACAGCTGATGCATACTTGAGTTCTTAATGCTGCATATCACAGCCAAATGCACAGGAGGAAAGGGCCAACAAAGCTGCAGGAGGTTTAAAGAAGCATTTTCCAGGATCTGTCCATGTCTCAGTAAATGTCTGCAGTGAATAATGGAGCCGAGACTCAGCCCTCACTTTGAGGAAGAGTTAATGGTTCAGCAGGCAGTGGGAAGACATGATTTTATTGCCCCGGGTGACCCTGTTTTAAAGAGGACAACATTGGCCATAGTTCCCATTTCTAATCACAGTCCGCCGTCCCCCTCAAGGCTGATGAACATGTAGGTTCCTATACCAGATACTGATGGGAGTCGGTGTCCTAGGACTATACCCCAACAAATAATGGATAGCATCAAAGGAAGTAGGTGATGAATAAGATAGCAGCCAATTTTATCCTCAAAGTGAGAAAGACAAAGAAGGGGGTTTAATTTTGAACAGAGACGTAGGGCCTGGCTATCAGCTGGACAGACACTACCGCCCCACCCTCACTTCCCCCCAACCCCTCCCACATCCTCACCTCCCCCCACACTCTTACCTTCCCCCACTCTCACCTCCCCCCTCACAACCCCACCCTCACCTCCCCCCATTCCCCACCCCAACCCTCCCCTCCTCCCATTCCCCACCCCACCCTCACCTCCCCTCCATCCCCCACCCCACCCTCTCCTACCCTCATCTCTACCTCCCTGCATCCCCTCCCACATCCTCACCTCCCGCCACACACTCACCTTCCGCCATCCCCACACCCTGGTTGACCAAAGTTCAGGCACCTGCCCCCTGTGGGAGGATGACCACCCTTAAGAAATGTTGCCCATTCAGAGTGCTCAGAGAGGTGAGCATGCTGGGCTGGCAGTAACCCCCTGAGTAAGCAGCCATGGAGGAGGCCAGGCTGGAAGAGGTGACCTCAGAGGCCTCACTGGACTTGGTCAAGGCCAGGGTCAGGAGGTGGGTGACGTTTCCATGCTGGCGAGGTTCTCAACCACTAGAGGGCACCACTGTGAGAGATCAGCTGTCCGCCATCAGGAGGGAACTTGCCTGTGCCCTTCCCCAGAACCATCAGCCAGTTGCCAGGATGTATCTGGCAGCCTTGCCAGGTGACCAACCTCTGCAGGTAAAGTATCAGTGGCAGCAGGAATCGTCCCATGCATGGGAGGCCTGGCACCTACCCCTCTGGTATGGCCAAACTCTTTCATAACCTATCAATAACTTTGTAGTTCATGATCATGCAGTCAATTTGGAAATTGTAAAGTGCCTCGAGCAGCAAATAAGGAATTTTTGGTGCAGTTGACCAGGCAGATGCATTAAATTAATGTCTCACTTCTATCGATTGTTATGAACTCACTGTAACACCTAAGAGGGGGTCTGACCATCAGCTGAAACCCACTGTGGCCTGGTCTTGGTTGTCTGACTTGCCAACCCAGTCCTGCTATTGGATGCATCATGGTGCCCATTTGTTGCTGCCTGTTCTTAATGAGGCCTATGCCTGAAAATCATAGCCACCTCTTAGCCACAAGCCAACAGCTTGAGAGCCAAACATAAACCATGAGCCTTTTATCAAAGTTGCTAGCCTGTGATTCTGTGGTGAAATGTCACTGTGGATTAAGCTGCTTAAATCCGCGGTGAGCTTTGAACCCAGATCTCAGTGGTCCTTTCCCAGGCCAGCACTGACCTATGAGAGAATGGAGCTGATCTTTCTCTCGGAAGTAATAACACTGGAACAAATCTTCTGGTTAATAAAGTTTGAAAGGTCGTGACATAAGTTGCAGATCTAGGTTAGTGCACAGTGGCACTGAGCTGAGGTTAAGCAAGTTTAGGCTTCATTAAGTTGACCATTTCCCAACGTGTGCTGTCTAGCTACGCTTCCTATGCCAGGTAGTGCTGTACATTAAGGGTATCACTTGATGTGATGCCAACTGCAACATCCTCCCTATTTATGCCAGAAATCCACATGGCATTACTCCCAAGCCTTACAACAGTGCAGGAGTCTGGATGAATGGGTATCTGTTAGGCTATTCTAGCATTTCTCCCTAACATTGCCTGATGACCATGATTATCTTGTTTATCCTGAGGGCAGAGGAGTACTCTGTGAAACCAAGGGTCTGCAAAGTTATCCCATTTCCTGGGCTACTTGGTAGGTTGGTCATAGTGTAGGAGACAGTGCACCAGGCTTCATTATACAGAAGGAAGCATCAACTTGCGTGCTATGCTTGCCGTCCTCTCCTCCCTTCACCTATTAACGCTCGGGAAACCAAGACACTGACCTCTTACTTACAATCACCAATTTGGAACCAGGTATTTGTTCTGTGCAGTTCAGCGCTGCAAAGTTTCTTCTTTATCAATAAGAAAATTAATGCACTCAATTTTAACACGATTATTTCATTTGTTTTGGACTGAGCTGGATTTGGAAGTTAAGCAGATTTCTTCATGTGGATGGCAAAAGAGCACGCAGATGGGCCCAAATCAATGCAAATTAGTGCAGAGAAAAGCATGTATTCACATGAAGAAACATTTTCCAGAAGTTGCAGCTTGCATACTAACTTTATTAAGCTTCTGGTACTTTCCCTTCTTGATGTCTGTTTCAGATTCTTTCAATGTATCGCTCACGCTGCCACTCAGTTTTTTTTTTCAGTTTAAGCCTCTCACTCGGGGACAAGGAGCACGACGGTGAGATTCCACACGCTTGCCAAGTAACATTGCATGTCATTGTGTGCATGGCTTTGCTGCAGCGCTCTTGTCTTTGGACAGTTCTGGGTACAATGCTGACAGCATGTCCCTCTTGGTCAATGTAGCAGTGAGGCTGCCTCACAGTTGGTGGGACGCAGCTGAAGCTGATGGTTTCGCTCGTGCTTTACAACAGGCTGCAACCTTGTTTAACTCCACAGCAGCACTGATGGTTTTATCTCTTGCTTGCTTTTAGAAAGCTAACCATCCTCCTCACCGTAAGCATTTACATGTGCCAGGGAACTGTATAGCACACATGCCTACCATAGAGGACATGCAGGTGGGAATGTGTGCCAAGGTGAGGGGTACTTAATGAGAAATGTATTTAATGTTACCTTGTGCTTTCCTTGTCCGACTTGCAATCCTCTTCGAGGTCACTGCCTTGCCTTCTATCTCGATGGGGCTCCCTAGCCCAAGTGTGTAATTGTCGTATTATCTACAAGCTGAGAGCTGCTTCATGAAGAAGGTTAATGACCTTAATGTACAACCGAGCCTGAAGACTTTAGACATTCTTGACCATGGAGGATGTCCCTACTGGCAATGACTCAGAGCTCTATCATTAAGCCACTTATCATCTCAATGGCTGCCCAGGAACCTAGTCTTCAGGAGGGCCGATTGCACACGGACACAAGTTGTAAATTAGAAGCTTCATGCGAATAGTTGGCTGTGCGTCAACAGAGACCTTTTGTGATTGAATCTGCTCCCTCACACTAGACTGAGTGGCTTCCTGCAATCTAATAGCCAAAACATCCAGTATAATTGGGCTGGGGCTCAGGCTCCGAATGTTACACCCCTATAACCTTCAAAAATCATGGTGCTCCATTGTGATGGCCATTTGGCTTCTATTGGTGAGTGCTAGGGTGATGCATTCCTGCAGTGGCGCACACAGACATTCACAAGCTACTGCCCACAAAGGACCTGCCAAATGGTCTTCAATAGTCAGAAATACAGGATTGATGACAGGGTAAAGAATCTCCCGCCCTCCCTAATGGCTGTGCTGGATGACTTCTTGTGCACTTTGCTAGGTCTCTGCAATGTTCCTGTGAAAGTGGGGCACTCCTGCTTTGAGGAGTATGTGGTGGTCCAAGAGAACAAAACACTTGGCAATTGCTGCTGGCTTCCTGTGCCAATCGTGAATGGCCTTTATCTGTTGAGGGGGCATCGGGATACATGAAGTCTGATTCAGACCTACAGACTCTGCCAACCAGATGACGATCTGAAACACCAGGATATCTTGCTTCATTGATTCTTATCAGAATAAGATGTATTTTGCAACAAGAGTACGATAAAACATAATTTTACAAAAATCAGAGCAGAATAATTTATTCGACAAATAGAAGACCAGAGACATCAGGACATTGTATTTCTCGATGGAAGGTAACATTTGTTGAAAGAACTGCTGAAAAGGATTTGGGATTCCTTCAGAAACTTACTTGGTGAGAAGCTGCCAGACCAGGTACATCTTAGTGACAGATACCATTTCTTTGGTTCATCTTGTTTCATTCTTTTGTCAGGTGTTCTCTGAGCATCGAGATGTGCAACTGCATAAAATATAGATGCTTTATAAGGACTCTTAAGTTGGCTGTGTTATTATGGTTTCAGAAGAAGGTTACAGTATCGAGTTGGAGTATTGCTTCTCTAACATCTCATGTAGATGACATTCTTCCAATAAACAACTCATAATTTAGTCTTCAATACCTCATCTGTCTGCATGATGTTTTCTGACCAATGTATAAGCAGAAATTCAGCACTGTGTCACTTGCTGGGACTAGCTAGAGTTAGCACTGCCTTTTCTTACAGTGCCGTGTGTGGCCTCTTCTCATTGGAGTGGGACTCTGTTGTTGGAGGCATTAGATCTACTCTGGGCATTTACAATAGGATCTATACTGATTTCAATTTAATGAAACAGTGATAGTTTAGGTTGTTAAAATGTCGGTTATGTGAATCCCACTCAGCATGCCTGTAAAGTTACACTGCAAGATATAAACCTATTTATGGAAATTAGATCTCACAGACATTTTCCTGGGATGGTAGTCTTTAGAGGAAATTCAAACTCAAGTGGCTCTTCCTCCACCTTTTTGAGAGCAGCTATGAGCTGCTTTGGGGTAATAATTAGCAATATTTTAAGTTAAGCTAAGGGTTACTGTGTTGCCGACTACTGCTAGCTAAAATATACGGGGACGTTAGAAATGTTTGAGAGAAGCAGATGAACCATAACTGGTTCTGCAATGAAAGGTGTTGAGGGTAGAGCTACCTATTGATGTTGTTCTCCTATGAATGCTTATGGAATTTCTGTGGTTCATACCCATGCTAAATTAATGCAGAGGAATTTCACGCATGTGGTAAGTGTTTGCATGAAGAACACACAGTTATAATTTCCATTCTATAATCAGGGCCTACTGAACATTGAGGGAATACTGAGAGTTTGAACCTCGACCATCACACTTCAATAACTTTATTGATATGCTTACAGGCCATTGACAGCAATAACATCTTGAAAGAGAAAATGAAAATGAAACAGTCAATAGAAGGTAATTTCCAAGTAATTTGAAGTTTTACTTGTCAGTACTTTTGTACAACCTTGATCTCAATTCTTACTTTCTCAATTGGTTGTTTTGCCACCCTTTAGACTTGTTAGACAAACTTGGTAAAAGGGAAAAGGACGTTTCTTCAATGTCATCACAGATCGAGTTACTAAAGACACAGATTGTTGGTAAGTCAGTTGAAGACAATAGCTATTTCGTGTCACTCTAATGAAAAAATACAGAGACATACTTTCGACATTACGTAAATCTTAATGGAAGAAAAAGAGCAAACCTTTGGTGGGGAGGGAGTACTTATAATTTTAATAAACAGAAATGTGTTCCTCTCTCCTTTTTATATCATCTTCTCCTGCATAGAAAGCACAACAATGTAATTCATGAAAATGAAGCGAGAGAAAAATTGATATAGTTCTTGTTATCCACTCCTTAGTGTGTAGAGTATGCTTACTGAACTCATTTAAGTAGAAGCAGCTCGTTTGTTCCTCAAGACACAATAAATTTGATCTCATATTAAAATCCATTTACGGTCTCATGGTTCCATGTCTCTGATAATTGTCTTCAGCCCTACAGCCATCTGAGATTGCTGCATTCCTCCACCAGTGGCCTCTTGTGCTCGTTACATTTCTTTTGCTCACCATTGATGGCTGTGCCTAAATAGCACCATGCTCTTTGATTCACCTTGAACCCACTTCCCAAATCCCCTTAACTCTCCACTTTCCTCTTGCCTCCTTTTTAAGATCCTTTCCTCGTACCACTGGATGCCTGTGGTTGAAATAGAACTTCATGTCTTTGGGAATGACCTAGTTGAGTTGGTGGGAAATAATGAAAGATGAGGACAACTGATACTGTACTAACTTGGAAAGGCTTGATTATAATTAGCTAATAACTCGTCTGACTTTCACACAGTAGATTTGACTGTGTATGTAGTTCCCCAGGTATAGGACTTTCTACAGGGTCATGCTGCCAGTAATCACACCTTTTGCCTCTGCAGCTCTAGAACACAAGTCAAAATCTTCCGAGAAAAAGGCCGACGCGACAACAAAGGAGAAAGCCAAGCTGGAAATGGAGCTGGAGGCCCTGACCCGTAAATCCCATGATGCTTCGGGACAGCTGGTCATCATTAGTCAAGAGCTGCTGAAGAAGGAACGGTGAGAATTCCCCATCTTTTAACGGCTGTAGACGCCATTGTTAAAGTCTGTACATAGTGTGGAGGTGCAGCAAGTAACCATTCAAAACCAGAGAGATGTGACTGAAAATGGGGCTGGAGGGGCAGACAGCTGTGGGAAGTTTTTACAAGTGTTATTCAGTAACCAGGGAAGGAAAAATCCATCTGTAAAAACACTGTTCCTGCTGATTGCTCAGCAAAGAGTTCTCGCCAGATGGCGGAAAATTGTCTTGCATTTTGTTTGAGACAACTTGCTTTGGATTATAAACAAATGCTATTTTTGGATTCCGATGAGTAGTTTATGTCAACAATGAAGTGAAATACTGCCTTAGGCTGAATAATGTTACTTTAAGTTAGGCTCGTTCTGTTGTTACAGATGAAGCTGAATTTAAAAGCTGTTTCACCTTCCCTCTGATCTGAATTCTTTAAATAGCTCCAGCTACCTTACTCCAGCTACTCAAAGCAGAGGCCTAAAGGCTCGGGCTAAGGTCATAGTTAAACGTTACAACTGTGTGTTAGACTTAACTATACAATGAGTGATGGCCAACAGTATTTGTGCTGTTTACAAACCAGTCAGTGTTTTTCGTTGTACGTAATAGCGAAGCATTACTTACTAAGACCAGCAGCAGTATTCACACCTGCAGGCTCCACTCTGGCCTTGTAAAACATTGCTTCCAGAAAAATGCATCTGGTCCTTGGATATCCTGTGAGATTGCCTCTATGAAAGAGAAGAGTTAGATTTGAATCATCCTGGGTTAGCCACAGGGGCTGACTGGCCCTGAGAATCCCAACAGTGTGGAAACAGGCCATTCGGCCCAATGAGTACACACCAAACCTTTGAACAGCATCCCACCCAGATCCACACCCCTACCCTATCCCTGTAACCCTGCATTTCCCATGGCCACCACATCTAACCTACACATCCCTGGTCACTATGGATAATTTAGCATAGCTAAACCGTTAAACCTGCACATCTTTGGACTGTGAGAGGAAACCCAGGCAGACAGAGGGAGAACGCGCAAACTCCACACAGCTGCCCGAGGGTAGAATTGAACCCAGGTCCCTAGCGCTGTGAGGCAGCAGTGCTAACCACTGAGCCAGCATGCCACCAACATGGCACCCTGTTGAGTGATGCAGTAATTCTTGTGTACACAATCATTCACAAACATTGGCTACCCCTCAGTTTGAGGCTGATGTCTGTTCAGGGGAATGGGCTTCTGCCTGGAGTTAACATGTGACTGAACATGTGGCTGGTTCTCAACCTGCAGACCATTGGCCAGAGTGTCTCCCAGGTAATTGGGCATGCAGTGCAGAATTCAGTCACTCACAGTGTAAAGTTCACATTTTAACAGAACTGTTCGTTATTAGTCCTCCGCTTTGCCATCTCCACTTTAGATCATAACAATACAGGGGTCTCCGACTTCTGAACATTTGACTTACAAACACTTGTACTTACAAACATGATTCCATATAGGGGTATAATTTTAAAGATCTAACATACGAACATTTCCTGTACTTACCAACAGCTGCTTTATGTTGTCCTGCATTGTGTTCCAACCTGTGTACAAATCGACTCGCAAATGGACTCAGGAACTGTCACAACCCAGGCGCTGCCTGTATGCGTAATGACACTGATCTGATTGATTACAAATGCCCTAAACACTTGCCCATTGGGGCAGCCTTCCCCTTTCTGTAATCTCTTTGGTATTCCATACCTTTATCCCATCTTCTCTTCTGCCCTGTCTGCCCCGGTTACTTTATTGGCCTCCTTGTTCCTTTCTCAGCCAAAAGACTCCCTCTCCTATGTGACTATTAACAAATATTATAATACAGTATAAAAAAGCTCCTTCCCCGCTGTTATCAGAATTTTGAATAGACCTTTCTAATGTTAATGTTGATCTCTCTCTGCACCTTCTTGGCAGCTGTAACCCAGTATCCTTCACTCTGTTCTGTTACCCCAAAACTCTTGTAAAGTATCATCTGCCTGGAAAGCATGTAAAACAACACTTTTCACTGTAGTTTGGTACACTTAACTGTAACAAATCAAATCAAATAGCCACGAGGGTTGTGTTCCTGAGAACCTCCGTGAATACTGAAATTCATGAGCGCGGAGCTCATTAAAAATATGGTTAAAAATATCATGTCATCTTTGCCGCTGGATGTTGATTTTTGTTATTGATTATTTTTTGGCGCAAATGAGCAAATATGCGATTCAGATATAGAGGATTTACTATATAGACTTTGAAATTAGTCATGCTCAATTGAGCAGGGATCTAGTCAATTGCTATGAAACAAGCTCATACCAGACTTAAACTATTCATATTAATACCAGACAATAATTTATACCACTTTTCCCCAGGAGAATTTTTAGAAGTTAATTAAAAATTTAACAAATGCTCTAATGAACCCTATTCTGCAAAATTACTAAGTCTTAGCAGCAAGGTCCCAGAATAATTTGCTTTTTTTTCTGAGATGTTGGCTAAATTCTAATGGTTTCCTCATGGAAGAAAAATCCATTTATCTCATTCCATTTGTTGTTCATGAGACAATGTTGTAGACAACAAATAGCTGAATTTTATTGATGAAATATGGCCTCTCACACAAAAATGAACATTGACTCAAATAAAGAGATATTAAGAAAGGTGATTGGGACTTTATAAGGAACAGGAGGTGGCAAGTATTCAGGATAGAATTCCAGAGCTTGCAAAGTGTGTAGGTGATATCCAAGAGACTAGATTCCAAGAAACTGCCAGATCGGGGAAAGGTTCTAGAGCTTATGGCAGTTACAGAAATAGAAAGCAAGGAGGTCCTAAAGGAATTTAGAATTAGTATTAGGTTTATTGTCACATGTACTCAAGTACGAAAGTACAGACTACAGTGAAAAGTGTGCAGTGTTGCCACAGACGGCACCATCTTAGGTACAAAGTAGCTAGTTACAAATCTTAGGTACTAAAATAGGTTAGGTACAAAAATAGAGAAATAAAGAATAAAGCAGAAATTCTAGCACTAGAATGAGAACTTTGAATTTGATGTTTTGGTAAGCAGGAGCTCATGAAAACTATTAAGGAGAAGAGCAAGTGAAACATGGTGCAGGTTATGACACAAGTAGAAGGATTTTTGCTGAACCCAGAGCAAATAGGAAATTCAAAGCCAGTTGACAATGCATCGGAATAAAGTCCTTAGCTGAAACACGCCTAGGTGTGAACAAAATGGCAATATTGAGGAGGTAGAAGGAGGTCTTGATGAAGGAAAAGGGCATGGGATTGGTCATAAAGTTAAGGGTGACCGAGATGCATATAGTCTGGATTGACCTATCACAGCGGCCAGGAAGGGAGAAGCAATTGGAGATGAGGAAAAGGAAGATGTAGCAGAGGCCAAGGCAGTGACTTGCAAATTCCTAAGACTTAACTGGAAGAAAGTGTTTCTTATCCAAGACCAGCTGTTGAACAAGCAGTCTGAGCGTGGAGGCAGTGCAGAGTCTGCGAGGTTCTGATGAGGCTAAATTGAATCTGTGTGGAACCAGGATTTCTGTTACACCCCAACATAGTTGTAGCAGGTGGAACAACAGAATGTCTGAGGAACTCTGAGGCAGATGTTTTACGATGAAATTATAACATCTAGATCAGAAATGGGAGGGGCTGAAGAATAGATCATTGAAGAACTCCAAATGACCTCTATGCAGGGAGCAAAGAGCTGTTCAGATGCTTCAGCTACAAGGGAGAGATAGGAAAGGAACCAACTGAAGGCAGTTCCACTGAACTGGATAATGGTGCAGAGGATTGAAAGGAAAGTACATGATCAGCCATAACAAAGGCTACAGAAAGTCTAAAGAGAGAGGGCCATTTCATGAGAGCCTGACTGGGTAGGGTGAACCTTGGAGTATTGGGAAAGATGGGTTCAAATTTGAAAGATGATAATGTTCAAGGAATCAAAACAGACTGGAAACATTAGCAGAGGGATAAACAGAATTAACCTTCCAGATCAATTACATATGGTGCTGAATGCTCCTGTTTTAATATCAAATTTCCAGCATCTATAGTATGCTGCATTCATTCTCAGTACTGGAGGATTGAGGAGAGGAAACAGCAGAAAGCAGGAGGCGTGTGCTTCACAAGTACAGAGGGGCTTTGGTCAGGTTTTAAGGAGGGGGATGTGAAGTTAAAAAGGAGTGGGAAATCTTTTACAATATCAAGTAGCATGGAGACCAGGAAGGACAATCTATGACTTAGATGAGGGGAATGAAGACATTGTAATTATATTTGCAGATGACACAAAGATAGGTGGGAAAATAAAAACAGAAGGAAAGCAGAGTAAATATTTCAGGTCCAGTGACCCTTATTTGAGTTCTGAGGAAGGATCACTGGATCCAAAATGTTAACTCTGCTTCCTCTCCACAGACCTGATTTCTGCATCAATTTCTGTTTTCATTTCGGGATTCCAGCATCTGCAGTTCATTTTTTAAAATAGGAACGTATATGGTGAAAACAACATAAGGAGGTTCCAGGCAGACATCAATAGGTTGAGTGAGTGGGCAAAAATCTGGAAAATATCGAGTTGCCTTGACAGGAAGAATAACAAAAACACAATATATTATCAATGGAGAACGACTGCAGAATTCCAAGGTGCCGGTGGATCTAAGTGTTTGTGTTCATGAGTCGCAAAAGTTAGTATATGGGTTCAGCAAGTAATTAAGAAGGTACTAGGATATTTTCCTTTGTTAGAAGAGGAATTGAACATAAAAGTAAGGATGTTATGCTTCAGTTATTCAGGGTATTGATGGGAGTACATTTTGAATGTTCTGTGGTAATTTGATCTCATTTAAGGAAGGAGATAAATGCACTGGAAGTGGTTCAGAGGAGGTTTACCAGATTGATACTTGAAATGAGCAGGTTGTTTTGTGAGGATAGATTGGGCAGACTGCACTAGTTTCCTATGGAGTTTAGGAGAGTGAGGGATGCCTTGATTGACATTTATAAGATACAATATGGTCTTGGAGAATGTGGAAAGGATGTTTCCTCTTGTGGGCCACCCTTTTAGAACAGAGATGAGAATTTTTTTCTCTCTCAGAGGGTTGGGTGACTTTGGAACTCACTGCCTCAGAACACATGAGGGCGGAGTCATTGAATATTTTTTAAGACACAGATGGATAGATAGATTCTTGGTAGGCAGGTGAAATGCGGGTTATCGCGGGATAGGTCGAAATGTGGAATTTGAAATAAGAACGGATTAGCCACGATGGTACTAATTGGAGGAGCAGGGCTGATAGGCAGAGCTGTCTACTCTGCTCCTGTTTCATATGTTCATATAGAGTCATAGAGTTGTATAGCATGGTAGGCCATGGAGTTGGGTCACTCTGGGAGGATGTACTGGGGAGAATTCTGTCTCCAATTTGATTCAACAAATTAACTGCCCTGTTTGCTTTCATAACAGAAGTAGTTGATTTGAAGTGAAGCACTTGGGATGTCCCATCGACATAGCGGTCAATATGTAAATTTTTTTTATATCTTTAACTGTAGATGCAGTGACAAATCCAGTAATCAATAAAGACCATTGAACAATATCAGCAAGAAATGCTTACTTCTTGATTTTTGAAAGTTCTGAGTTTAGCCTACTAAATGGAATTATTTTTCTGACAGCTCTTTATTTCTCAATGAATCAATTGGATTTATCAGCATGGTTTATTTGAATCAATTAAAGTTGTAGTGTGTGGCACGGTGGCTCAGCAGTTAGCACTGCTGCCTCACAGCACCTAGGACCTGGGTTCAATTCCACACTTGAGCGACTATCTGTGTGGAGTTTGCACATTCTCCCCATGTCTGCGTGGGTTTCCTCTGGGTGCTCTGGTTTCCTCCCACAGTCCAAAGATGTGCAGGTTAGGTGGATTGGCCATGCTAAATTGCCCGTAGTGTTCAGGGATGTGTAGGCTGTGTGGGTTAGCCATGGGAAATGCAGGGTTATAGGATGGGGTGTTGGTCTGGTGGGATACTTTTCAGAGGGTCGGTGTGGACACAATGGGCCAAACAGCCTGCTTCCACACTGTGGGGATTCTGTCATTCTATTTGACACATTTTCAGGGAATTTTCTCAGTAATACTCCCAACTGAATCCATCATTTTAACTGAAGTCCCAGAGAAAGCGAGTGAACAGGATTACTTTCAGTCTTCTGCTCATTATTAAAAGTCTGGATGACTTTTCTAGCAACGTTCTTTTCAATTGAGACACTTTTTGAGATGTGACACTTTAAGTGATTGTAGTGTTAGGCAAATGCAAGACTTTAAATGAGATGATGAAGAATTTTCCTCAATGATAAATGTTTGGAAGAACACAGTGGTGGTGATTGGGGGTGTGTAGAGGGGTTTCAGTTGGTGGATCCTCCCCACAGGACAGCCTGCAGAAGTTCCTGCATCTCACCAGGCTCGGAGAGCTACTTCTGGAGCACCAGGCCTCCCAGTCTGGCCTTCAGCGCTCCTAAGGATTATCTGGAAAATCACAGTCCACCCCTTTAATTAACTTCAAGTGGTCCTTGGTGAGCCATCTCAGCTACCCAATGCCCTCATCCTGCCTGTGTGGAATTGGCCTGGGGTCTTGCTGGAGTCAGGAAACTAGCTGATTAGGATGCTATTAGACCTATCACAACCCAGCCTGGGGCTCAAAATCAAGCTATTTCTCTTCAATTTCAATCCTCAGTCGGACTAGCAATATTATGATCCCTAAGCTGTCTATCTGCACTGGATCAACAGGGTTGCACACTGACAATAATTTGTACTCCTCTCCCACTGGTTTGTATCTGCCTCTTCACTGCATCTCTCAATTATTCACGAAACCAGGAACCTCAACGAACTGCGCTCTTTGCTGTTGGAGACCAATCGTCACTCCAGCGGAGGGGAAAAGGACCTCAGCCGTGAAGTTCACAAAGCTGAGTGGAGAATGAAGGAACAGAAACTACAGGAAGACATCAAAGTTCTCCGAGAGAAACTATATGGTCTGGTAAGTGAAGAGCAGCTCCTTTAGCCAATGAATATTTTTTTCAATTTGACAGCAGCATCAGTGATCAGAGCGATTGGTTCAGTTTACCTAAATATCAAAGACACTACGCGAAGTTGGTTATTTTTTGACAGAAATATCCAGATTAACTTTTCCTCAGTTTCAGGAAAGTAGGGCACAGTTATTCAGGTTTAGATCGAAGCCAATCAGGGAGAGAGAAGCTGAAACCATTTTCTTCGTGGATAGTTTATTCACGACTCAGTCTCACAACTCCTTCCATGCGTCAGTCCCATCTGCTCCCCCTCGGCAAGGACCCAGTTAATCATTGATTTTTGACTTCCATTTTGACTTTGTTGGGAATTGTCAATGATGTGGCTGCAGAGTTGCCTGAAACGTTAAGTTCATGTTGTAGCAAATCAGATGGATGCTGTCATGCAAGGACAGACCTTTTGACTGAAGATTAGTATGTCCTCTTTGTCGTTTATACAGAGTGTATGTTATTGAACAGTTAAAAATGGGAATGCCACCTACTTTTTGTTGAATGTATAATTACTGATTATTTCAAACAATTTTGTGCACGTTGATGCACAGCACTGTGGATGAAAAACTTTTCCAGTTTGTGCTCGTGACTGGAGTCTTGTGTAGGTGATGGATCTAGGGCTCTTGGCTGGAGATCCCACCGGGAACCCTTGGTGCCTAATTCAGGGAAAGCCTTCCCCTATCAGGTTCCACTTTAGCATTTCATAGGCCCGGCATCAAAGAGTCCAGGGTCAGAAGTCCCACCCAATCAGAGGCCAGCAGCTGAATTGAATCAGCAGCCCCACTGGGAGATAGTGGCTACTCCCAATATAACACCCACTTGATGCTGAGGATCATTGCTGGATCCCAGGCCACAGGAGAGCGACAGTGAGTAGTCAGTTGTTGTGGGGTGAGCGATCGATAGAAAGAGACAGGAGAGTGGTTCTCAGAAGGCACTTTCCTTCTAATGCCAGGTCCTTTAAGGGGGCACAGGGTACTTTTGAATGAGGGAACCGATACTCCTCAGTCTGCTCCATCCCTGACCAAATCCATCAGGCTCCGTGCACCAGTCTGTTTGACAGCTTTTCACCTGCCACTCGATCAATGGGGGCAGTTAGACTCCACTGGCCTCCATGTCTTGGACTTAATCGGGATGGGAACCACTATCCACCCTCATTAAATACCCCCACCCCACCAAAACACCAAACTCACTGCAGGGGAAGACACCAGATTCTGTCCCTTATATCAGCATTGAGCATTTCCAGGTATATACACATACTGAGGCTGGGATTCTTTCTAATTTGTTAAACTGAATGAGATGGGCTACATAATGTAGGACATTCAAGGTTATTGGTGCTACAAAATCAACGCTATATGTTATTCTTGACAATGAATTGGGAAAAAATATTATTGTGTTATGTTACTATCCAGATCAGCTTCATATCAGAGAGAGACAAAGAGAAACAGAGGACAGCCCATGGTTCCAAGGTATATTTAAATGATGCAATCAGGTTAAGTCTGGAATTTAGAGCTAATTAAAGGATCACTGTAGAATGCTTTAATTAACTCAGTGTTCCATAATCATAAATCCTGCCCGATATTCACTTTGTGCATCAGGAATATTCCTTAAAGAGGCTGAAGATTTTGAGCTGAAGCACTTATTTTTGTTCTGCTTTTTCATGTTACCTCATTGGCTGCAAAATGCTTTGGGGTGTCCCAAGATTGTGAAAGGCGCTACATCAGTGCAAGTGTGACCGTTCTCCAGGGACAGAAACTGAGTTTGTTTTAAAATCAGCACTTTGTTCTGCTTTTTTGCTCATTCACCTTTTCTTTCAACAAATTTTCGCAGTGCAAATGCTTCTGATAAAAAGTTACTGCTATCCTCCATTGGGTTTTGCTCCACCCCGTATTGACAGGATCAGGTATTCCAAGTTGTAACTCAGAGACACATTTAAGCCGACTAGACCCAGAATTCTGTTATCCATGTTAGTCACAATCCAGTCTAAATTGAATAGTGGTGGAGTAATGTCCAATTCATCCCAATGGAAGCAGACTTCACCTTTGCTGCGAGGATATGTAATCATTATAGAGTGGCCGCATCCTCGCTGAGCATTATGGGTAGGTTCTGCCTCCATCGGTACAGGAATGACTTCCTTTCTCCTGTTCTGCCTGAGGTAATGGGAGAAAGGCAGATCAAGTGAGAAATCAGAGTTGAAGAAGTGATGAAAGGGGAAGCAAAGTGAAAACCTCACAGCTGGACGATGGCTCTCAGCATTCAGTGAAGCTGCCATTACAGTTCACTGAAATCATTATGATATGCTGCTTTTCAGTTCAGCGTTCGACATCTGTGTACTAAAGTAGTTGAAATGAAATAGATTGCTTCTGTTTTGAGTATTTGTCTGATTGTTCATTCTTTCTCTCTCTCTCACTTTCTCTCTGTATCTCTGTTTCTCTGTCTCTCTCTCTCTCTCTCTTTCTCTTTCTCTTTCTCTGTCTAGGGTACTGAAAAATACAAGCCCGACCAAAAGCGGCGCCCATCCTCTCTACAGGACACAGAAACCGACACGGAGATTTGCAAACTGCAGCAAAGGCTGGTTAACACTGAGGAGGCCCTGCGGAGTGCACTGGAGCAGAACCAGCAAATGGAGAGGCTGATGGAAGCCATGCAGGCAAGATCCCAGTTCCTGATTAAACCTCTCCATCTCTCTCTGCATCACCCCCGCCTCGCTCCTTCAAATCTACCTGCTTGATTAAACACTTTTCTCGTGGTAATACTGATTGTCTGCCCAGATTCCTGTTGCTAGCTGCTGATGCTCTCTGTGTTGAATACTGTAAAATGTCTTCAGTATAAGAGAGATTAGCTGAAATCTCCCAGTTTCTGGGTATTTGGAGACCGAACAGGATCTGTATCAGGGTTTCTGGGTCATCCTGATGCAGGGACTCAGCAGGAATTCTCTGGGAATTTAAGGTGGAATTACTCAGCGTCTGAAATCTTCTGCAAAGCTCCCTGATTCTGATTCTGTGTTGGAGACTTTAAGGGATACTGATTAACTTCTTCAACAAGAAATGTGAACCGGAGTAAAAAAAAGTTTGATCTCCCAGGCAACTATGCAACTGACTGACCTACACCCCCCCCCCACCCACCGCCGCCCCCCACCCTCTCCCAGCTACGTTCCTGATGTACAACCTCTGACCCCTGACAATCCGTCCACACCCTTGACTGCCCAATGACAACCAGACCCTCTAACTCCCCTTCCCAAACCCTGACTACATCCCCTTAGCTCCCAACCTCCAGCTCCACCCTTTGAATTCCCATCGGATCATCCCGATTACAGCGCTCTGATCGGACACAAGCACCCCCCCAGCCCCTCACTATCTTACACCAACCCAATGTGCCCTGTTATTCCTTCATTTGCCCTCTTACCCCATCACTCAACCCCTACCCCCTCACCCATTCTCCTGTACTCTCACCCATCCCCTGCCCCTCACCCATCCTCCTGTCCTCTCACCCCCCCCCCTCCCCTCCCCCGTCCTCCTCTCCTCTCACCCACCCCCTATCTCCTCACCCATCCTCCTCTCCTCTCACCCACCCCCTACCCCGTCACCCACTCCCTATTCCCTCACCCACCCTCCTATACTCTCACCCACACCCCTGTCTTTCACCCACCTTTCTACCACCTTGCCACCTCATCCATTTACCTCACAAACTTACTTTTCCTTGGTAGCTCCTGATGGAGGCTTTGGGACATTTAAGTTATTAATTAGTGGAATATAAAGCAGGGAGAGGCATTTCTAAAAAGCCTGACAGAGAGGGCCTCTGCTGTTGCCTGAAGAGAGCTGTGCTTTCTGAGCCTGGAGGAGAAGGATGGGCCCAAAAACTGTGAGTAAGTCACTCTGGAACTTTGTTCGATCTGGATTGGGAGTGGGAATTATGAGCTGGATCAGGAGTTTTGAGCTTATGGATCCGGTTTTCCTGGACATGTAGAAATATGAAGACAGTAGGTCAGTATTGAGTATAAACATTGCTCCCGTTACAGTGATCATTGGTTATTCTTTAAACCAGTCACGTACTTTATTTTTTCAAAAAAAAAGGCTGCTGATGTTGCAGTATTTTTTAAAATGACACTACATTTGATGTGTGCATTTTTCTGGAGTGGAATCGATGTTCCTGATGGCAGTTCTGATTAAGCTCCCCTGTTGTTGTTCTCTGTTTTTCAGACTCTCGATAGCGCAGGCTCTGCAAATGGAGTCCATCAGCGAGGCCAGCTTGAGGCAATGACGGATAGCAGATGCTTCAAACAAGAGGTGAGCAACAGGTTCAGCATTTTAACACATTCAAATAAAAACATCTTCACAAGCTTCTTTTTTTCGAAAAGTGAACACCGTGTCATTAAATCAACAACTCCAAAGCACAGAACGTGGGACGATAAAAGACCATTCTGCCTGAAAGGCCTACTCCATGTACAGACAGTATTATTCGCTCGCTTTATTCATGCATAAGGGTGACAAGTTGGTTTTTGAATGCAGACGTGGTCTGTGATGTTGATTTTGTGGTTGTATTATTCACTCGCTTTATTCCTTCATAGGGTGAGGGTGTCTCTGACCAGGCAGCATTTATTGCCCAGAGGGCAGTTAAGAGTTAACCACATTGCTGTGGATCTGGAGTCACATGTAGGCCAGACCAGGTGAGGATGGCAGTTTCCTTCCCTGAAGGGCATTAGTGAACCAGATGGGTTCCCCCTCCTCCCCCACCGACAATTGACAGTGGATTCACAGTCATCACTAGCTTCTTGATTCCAGATATTTATTGAACTCAGTTTCCACCATCTGCCGTGGCGGGATTTGAATCCAGGTCCCCAGAACGTTACCTGGGTCTCTGGATTAACAGTGCAGCAATAATACCACTAGGCCATTGCCACTGCACTGAAACAAGCCCAATCCCAAACTCCTGAAAGTTTCTCACAATCAGTGGGAGTGGGGTTGGTGGATAGGGTCAGGGTGAATATAAATTTCCATTAGAAACTAGCCATCCCCCCCCACCCCACACCAAATCACACACCCACAGCCACACTCACCATCCCCATCCACCCCATGGGCTACTGACAGTATCAATTGGCATCAGAGCAGCCTCCAGCTCACTCAGAGAGAAGCCATACTCCCAGACACCAGGCAGGAGATTGTGGTGTAGTGGTATTGTCATTGGACAAGTAATCCAGAGGCCCAGGTTAATGCAGTGGGGGCACGTGTTCAAATCCCTCCATGGCAGATGGTGGAAATTTGAATTCAACCAATATCACCTGAAATTGAAAACTAGTCTTGACGGTGACTTTGTCGATGGTCGTAAAAATAACCATCCACTACAGTAATGTCTCTTAAGGAAGGAAATCTGCAATAGGGTTAGGGTTAAGGTTTGGCCTATGTGTGACTCCAGAACCAAAGCAGTGTGGTTGACTCTCAGCTGTCCTCTGCAATGGCCATATTCCTGATTCCTTGACTTGGCCTCCATGTGTTCAAAGTTCTTCACATGAATAAACCTTCTTTGTTTTGGTTGGCCACATGCCAGAGGGGATCCCTGTGAGTCAGGGAGGGGGGGTCAAAGAATCCCTACTGTGTAGAAGCAGGCCATTCGTCCCATCGAGTCCACAGTGGTCATGAACTGAGGCCACAACATTGGCAAAGTGTTCCCACTGCTCACCTGGGAGTCTCTGTCATGACTGAATTCTGACTTGAACATGGAGGACCCAATAGAGGAATGCATAAGGGTGACAGGTTGGTTTTTGAATGCAGGCGTTGTCTGTGATGTTGATTTTGTTGTTGTTTATATGTTTGCCTTTGTAGCCACGGTGATGCTGTTATTGGTCAGTGACAATGTTAGTTAGCTGTGCGAATGTGGCTAGGTGAGGCATTGGGATTGTGTTCACGGGCAGCACAGTCAGATGAATTCTCTGCAGAAAGTGAAGGGCTGTCCTATCTGCTGCCTTCCGGTTCCTCAGACTTTGTAGCTAGTGCTGACTGTTGGTCTGTCCCACCTCAGGATGACACTGAGGTGGAACGTACAGCAGACCACCCACCAATTCTCTCAGCTTCACTCTGCCACAGGGCTCCTTCAGACTGGTCTTGGTGGAACCATCATTTCATCATGTCTGCTGTTCCCTTTTGTGAGGTAGCAAGGTTACTGATATTGTGACGATGCTGTGGCTGTAAAGAGGTGTGTTTTGCCCTGGTTTCTTTCTAAGAGAGACGTTGAACAAGAGGAGCTGAGCAGCCTATGGTAACATCAACAGCTTGTGAGGCCTTGGGTGTTTTTCAAAAGTTAGAACAACAGAAGCGGCCTGGATGGGTGTGGCCAGCTCTCACAGAACCAGGATTTCTAGGTTTTTTTTCAGTTTTTAGCTTCAGCAGAAGCGCTGAAGTTTTGAGAAGTGGAAGCTATCTTTTCCTTCTCTCATTTACAGCTAGTATCTGGGGTTTCTCTCTGCTGCTAGGTTACCTGTGAGACAAATCTACTTTTCTGAATCTGCCTTTTTGCCAAGGGGTGTGTTTTTGGGATGTTATTATATTGGAACAGTTAATTAATAATAATTACTGTATCTGTTACTCTGTTAAGTTTTCCAATAGAGTTAAGTTATCCTAAGTTCTCCTTTCTTTTGTTGTATTTTAAATACAGTGTTGAAATAAATTGTGTTTTGCTTAACGTCAAGTAGTTTGTCCAATCGAATTGTATCTGGGACATAGCACGTTACATTTACCTTTTAAAATAAGAAAAATTTAGGGTGTAGGCTATCTTCTTAAAATATTTTGAGGGGATCTGGACCATAACAATATATAAACTGGTCCTGCTCGTCAAAGGTTCAAGAATGGGACAGCACAGGGTTCAAGTGATCGTCAAAAGCAGTAAATGTGATGTGAGAGAAAAAGCGAATAGTTAGGATCAGGAATGTAGTTGCTGGAAATGTGGTGGATGCAGGTTTAGTTGGGGCATTTGACAGGGCACAGGATGATCATTTAACTGGAAACAATGAGCAGGGGTTATGAGGAAAAGGCAAGAGAGTTGCACTAAGCTGTGATGAAGGGAAAAAACAGAGCGTTAATGTTTGGGATCCAGCGACCCTTCCTCAGAACACCGGACCCGAAACGTTCACTCTGTTTTTTTTCCTTCATAGATGTTGCCAGACCTGCTGAGCTTTTCCAGCAACTTTGCATTTGCTCCTGATTTACAGCATCCGCAGTTCTTTCGGTTTTTACTAAGTTGTGATGCTTGTTTCGAGAGCTGGTGCAGACATTTTTGAGCCGAATGGCCTCCTCCTGTGCTATCACACTTTGGTGATTCGGTGATTCTCTGCAGGTGGTTTGCACAGCGGCCTCATTCAGCCATGTGGTCAGCGCGTAGCTCCTGTCACAACCTCATCACCCTTTTCCACCCGATTATCCAAGCATAACAGCATCACAACTACTGCCAAGATACCAGACATGATTCACAGTGTCTGGTCGCACACCAGCTGGAGGTTAAAGGACGTGCCACCCCTTTCAGTTGCAGCATATGGCACCATTGGCAAGCACCATCCACAAAGACAGCGGGTATATGGTCACTGGCAGGCGACATGATGGGGAAGGCTACAATCCTAGTGAAGTGACATACTCGGGCTCTCTGGAGACCGGGAATAAAATGTAGTAACCTGTCAATTCATAAAATCTGGCAGTGACATCCCACACAGCAGCACCTGATGGTGAACTGTCTGGTGGATAAAATAATGAGGCAAGGTGATCTCCAGAGTTATAGCTACTGACAGTATTGTCCTGCCTTGAGTTTGTGGCAAATTTCTGTGAGGACATCCTTGCGTCTCTCACATTACTCCTCAGTCAAGCTCAGGGAAGTGGATTTGCTCCTTGAACAACACCCTGAGTGACTGTGGCCTCCTCCTTTGAACCTGTTTCCCCTCCTCCCTCCCTCTCTCCTCCTTCGAGCAGCTTCTCCTGTTCTGTGTCACCTCTGTTTATCCTCCCAAGTCGTACTTTAATTCGAGGGGCAGTCCAGTTGTACACCCATGACTGCAAACAACTGGGGGTTGATCAGAAACCCTGAGGCCAGGGCAGAGTTTCAGTGTCTGCCACATCCATCCCTACAGAGTTATACAACTCGAAATAGCGATAGAAAACTCTCACCACGTGTAGAATTGTGGCAACAAACAGAAGGCAGAAGTTGCACACTCAGATAAGACAAATTGAATTATAACATGTCTGGCAGTATCTGTGGAGAGAAATCAGACCTAATGTTTCGGGTCCAATGACCCTTCCTCAGAACTCACAGTATTCAGGGAAAAGTTATTTTTTATGCAGAAGATAGGGTGGGAGGAGGGGGTAAGGAGTAAATGATAGGTGGGCGTAGACTCCAAAGAGAGAGAAGAGCAGTTGGACAGACAAAGGAGTGGGTAACGTTCAGCCCAGGAGAAAGAATAGCTACTAATGGGGCCAATTAGTGGCTAATGGTGCGTAAACTGGGTGACCGCTTCCCAGAACACCTATGTTCCGCTCGCAAAAAAGATCCTGAGCTTCCAGTTGTCTGCCACTTCAACACACCACCCTGTTCCCTGGCCAACATCTCTGTCTCCGGCTTGCTGCAGTGTTCCAGCGAAGCTCAGCGCAAGCTGGAAGAACAGTGCCTCATTTTCCACTTGGGAGCCCTACAGCTTCTGGACTCAATATCGAGTTCAACAATTGTAGGGCTTGAGACACCTTCCCCCATGTCCTTATCCCAACCCCCACAAACCAAGCCTGCTATTACACACAACCCATTGTTAGCCATTAACGGTCCCCATTAATAGCTATTCACCCTCATGGCCTGATTGTTACCCATTCCTTTGTCTGTCCAACTGCTGTTCTCTCTCTTTGGGCTCTATCCCCACCTATCGTTTACTCCTTACACCCTCCCGCTACTGTATCTTTTGCATGTAAACCAACATTTTCCTCGCAACCATCAGTTCTGAGAAAGGGTCACTCAACTCAAAATGTTAACTCTGATTTCTCTCCAAAGATGCTGCCAGACCT